GCGGCGGCGTCGGCCCCGCAGACGAGGGAGGAGGAGGGAGAGAGGGAGGGAGGGAGGGAGGGAGGGAGGGAGGGAGGGAGGGAGGGAAGGAGGAGGAGGAGGAGGAGGAGGACCAGTGGAAACCCAAGACTCATCGACGATGTTGGAATAAACCCTTGCTCCAAGCTCCGTCTTCAGAGGCCCCTGCAAGGGGTCATTTCTGCTGAGGAAGCTGCTTCGTTGGGAGAGAACCGACTGAAGACCCTGAAGCGGGACAAAACACAATTTTCGGGATTGCAACGCCACGAATCAGCATGATTCTTTGCGTCTGGAAGATCGCAAATCCCGCCAGAACACCATTCCTGGGACTTCGACACCGATAATCAACTTTACGGTTGCGCCCGCATTATCCAGAGTCCTGCCAAAACACCACTTCTGGCACATTGACAATGGACATCCGTGAAATGTTTGCAAATGTTTAAAACGAATGTGCGCGGCGTTACGGTGAGAACCGAATTTTTAAAACGAACCACCCTCAAGCCGTGAAGCTCATGCAATATGTTATAACGAATGCTCGCGGCGCTAAGGCGGGAACCACAGTTTGAAAACAAACCGCCTTCGATTCATGAAACTCTTGTTTTGAAACGAATGTGCGCGGCGCTAAAAGCGAGAGTCACAGTTCGAAAACCACCCGCACTCAATCGGTGAAGCTATTGCAACTGTTTGCAATGAGTGTGCGCGGCGCTAGGGCGAGAGCCACAGTTTGAAAACCACCCTCCCACAATCCGTGAAGCTCTTGCACATTTTGGAACGACTGTGCGCGGCGCTAAGGCGAGAACCACATGTTGAAAACCACCCGCCTTCCATCTGCGAAACTGTTGCCAGCTTCTAAGCTTCAGGGTCATGTTTGGTAAGCCCTTTCGACCGGCCTCCGGGTGCGACAGGGAGGAGTTATTTATCATGAGCACGAACGGAGGAGGAGGAGGAGGAGGAGGAGGAGGAGGAGGAGGAAAAGAGGGGAGAGGCGCGGGGGGGAGGAGGAAAAGGAGGAAAATAAAGGGGGGGGGGGAGGGGAAGGAGGGGGGGGACGAGGGGAAGATGGGGGGGGGACTGAGGTGGGGGGGGGAGGGGAGAAAGGAGGAGGGGGCAGGAGGAAAAGGAGGAGGATGAGGAGGAGGAGAAGGTGGACGAGAAGGAGAAGAGGAGGAGATGAGGAGGTGGAGGAGAATGGCCCGCTCTCGAACGATAATCGCTGGGGCGTTGAAGGCCGCGCAGGTTCTCCGAAACCGCCCCGGCTCAAGCCTTTTCTGTGAGGGCCTCAGGTGGCCTTGCTCCCTTCGGCTCCCGCATGCGCGCCGCGGCCCGCGGGGGAGGGCTGATCGCTTTCCACCTCCTCGCCGCCTGGGTGGCGCGGCGGTGGGGCTCCCCCTCGCCGGCGCCGCTGCCTGCGGCGCCGCCTGTGCCGGAGCCGCCGCGGGCGGCACCGGCGCCCGCTCCGCCCGCGCGGAGTTGCCCGGCGGCCGCGCCGCCTGCCTCCGCGCTGGTCCCGGACCTCTGCGCGGAGATCGCCCGGTGCCTGCCGGCGCCGCCGCTCCCGGCCTGGGAGTACTGCCAGATCCTTGCCCGGCTTGCCCCAAGCCGGAGGAGGGTGGCTTCAAGTGGGGCATCGATCTCGGCATCGGGTTCTTCACCCTCCTGATCTGGGAGGCTGTCACCACTTGCTGGGCTGCGCTGCGCTGCCAGGTGCGGCGCCTGCTCTCAGGCGCGCGGGCGGTTGGGCCTCCGGCGGCGCCCGCGGCTCTGGAGGACGGCAGCCCGTCCGCCCAGGTTGATCGGCGCTTCCCAGGTGACAAGGGAAGGCTGGTGGCTGCCTGATGAACGTCGGCGATGAGCTGCTGGTCTGCTATGACGTTCCTGGCGTTCCTCTGCTCCATCGCCGCCTCGTGGTCCGCGTCAGCCAGGTGCAGCCGCTGCACGCCGCCGTGGTTTCGCCCGACCTCGACCTGTTCATCGAGCACTTCACGGACGACAACGACGACATCGCCGCCTGGTATCGGTGCGGACCCGGCGGGGCAGTGCCCGCTGGGCTGGGCGGGGTGGCGCTGTACGACTTCCAGCAGCCGCTCACGGCCAAGGAGTTCTTCAACCTCGTCCCGAGGGCCGAGGGCCTCGTCCGCGAGCACGACGGGCAGCTCGCCGCCGCGGCCAGCCCAGGCGCCGCCGGCGCCCTCGGGCCAGTGGTCCCGCTTGGGCTTCCGGCCGCGGGCCAGGCCATCGCGCCCCCGGCTGGCGGCGGCGCGCCCGTGCTGGGAGTCGGCGCTGGAGCGGCTGGCGGCCTGGCTGCGCTCCTGGGCGCCCGCCCCCCAGGTGGTGGTGGCGCGCACGTCCCGCCTGCGGCTGCTGGCGCGCCCGCCCCCGGAGCGGCCGCGCTGGCCGCCCCCCCGCCGGCTGCAGCTCCCGCCGCCGCCGCTGGCGCGGCGCCGGCGGCCGGAGCCGCCGGACACGCCGGGCTCGCTGCGGCGCTGGCGGGCGCCGGCGCCCTTGGGCAGGGGGCTGCCGCTGCAGGGGCCGCGCCAGGTCTCGCCGACGCCGGGGCCGCCGGCAGCGCGGCCGACGACTGCAGGACGCTGGCCGTCGCCTACGACATCGACGGGAAGCGGCACAGGACCTTCGCGGCAGGCGTCGCCCCCCTGGCCCCGACCGCGCGGGGCGACTGGCCCATCCCGGGCCCCCGCGCGGTGCACTGGGTGGCGACCGACATGCTGGAGAACGGCGGTAGCGCTCTGGGCCATCATGCGCAGTGGAAGTCTAACATACGACGCGGCCCCGAGGACGTCACGGTCTCGAACCACCTGGAGTACAGCAAGATCTTTGAGACGGCGCTGTGCTACGACCAGCTGGAGGACAGCGACCTTGCTTGCCTGAAGCTCGTGGATCGCCAGCTTCGGGCGCGCGAGGAGATCCGCCGCGACCTGCTCTTCGGCACGAAGAAGGGCGAGTCGGACGGCCACGACGAGTACTACTACTTCACGAGGATGGCTTCAACTCGTGGCCTCATGGTGGCGCCGGCGCTCAGCACCTGGGTCAGCGAGCAGGTCGCGCGCGAGAGCGCTCTGGCCAAGGAGCGCATGAAGGCCAGAGAGGAGCGCGCCCTCGCCAAGCCCAAGGGAAGGGCTAAGGGCGGCCAGGAGTGACCCTGGGCCCGCCCGTCGCAGATCAGGCTGCCTGCTGCTCCTTGGCTCCGGGCTGGCAGGCCTTCGATTTTTCAGCCACTTCGGGATGTTTCGCCAGCGCGACGTCTTCCCGCTACCTCTTCATCATGTTCCTGAAGCTCCTGGCCCCGGCTTGGGCGGCTGCCGCGCCGTCGCCCGCCGCGGCCACCGCCGTCGCCACTCCCTGGACTGGGCCGACGACGGCATCGCCTCCCTCAACCAGCTCTCTGGACGCGGCGGGGCGTCGGCCGGCGCGCCGACCGCCGCCCGGCAGCTGAGCCTCCAGCACTTGGAGCGCAGCTACGCCGCCGTGGGCGCCTGCCCGGCCGACCTCCACCCCCGCGGGAGCCTTCGTGAGCTCTGCGGCTCCGCCGTTCTGCACGGCGAGACCCCAACCGCCGTCGTGCCCTGCAACGAGGACCTCGTGTCCTGGCCGGCTGTGGGCGCCAAGCCTGTTGACCTGGCCAGCGCGCTCGCCGCCGAGCACCCTTCCTGGTTGAGGGGCCTGACGGCCAAGATGCGACGACCTCCGTCGGCAGCGGCAGCCATTCGGTCTGAGCTCGGACTCCTCTGCCCCTACATCGACCCCGCCTTCCGCAACCAGCGCGTCTACGCCGACTTCGTCAAGGGGGTGCTGGATCGCGGAATGGCGCGCCTCGAGCCCACGACGGCTGGCGCGTCGGTTGGCTTGTTCTTCGTCAAGAAGAATTTTGACCAGCAGCGCATCATCTTCGACACTCGTCTCGCCAACTGCGACTTCGAGCCGCCGCCGTCGACACACCTGCCCTCAGCCTCGGCCTTCGCGAAGATGGAGACCAGCGAGTGCGACGTGGTCTGGTGCTCGGTCGGCGACATCCAGAACGCCTTCTACGCCATCGCTGTGCCGCCGGAGCTGGGGTCGTACTTCAGGCTGCCCCCGGTTCGAGCAGGCGCCCTCGGCCGCCCTGAGGTTGGTGGTGAGCGGCCCTCGGCCGCCACTCTGCTCACCCCAGTGCTGACGGTGCTGCCGATGGGCTGGAGCTGGGCGCTTCACCTCTGCCAGCTGGTCACCGAGGAGGGCCCGGTTCGGGGCGGGCTCAGCGCGGACGCCCTAGTCAAGGACCGCGCCGCAGCCGGCCCCCTCGGGCCGACCCGCCCGTTGCAGGCGGCAGGCTACGTCGACGACTTCATGGTGCATGGCGCTCCCTGCAGCCGGGTGGCCGCCGCAGGCAGGCGGGCGACGGCCAGCTTCGTCGACCAGGGCTTCTTGGTTCACGAGAGCACCGCCGAGCCCGTCTGCGCGACCGACTTCGTGGGCCTCTCCTTCGACGGGAAGGCCCACACCGTGCGGGTGGCCACTAGGCGGATGTGGCGCCTGCGGCTCGCGATCGAGGAGCTGCTGGCGCGTGGCCGCTGCTCTGGTCACGTCCTGGAGGTGGTCCTCGGGCGCGCTACCTGGATCATGCTGCTGCAGCGCGGTCGACTCTCTCGATCCTCAACACCGTCTACGCCTTCATCAAGGCCCACCAGCACCAGGTCGGCGCGATCTGGGACTCCGTGGCGTGGGAGCTCCGGCAGGTCAGGAACCTCCTCCCGCTCTTCGTGGCGCACGCCGACGCCGAGTGGTACCCCAACGTGACGGCCTCCGACGCCTCCCACTGGAGCTGGGCGCTTCACCTCTGCCAGCTGGTCACCGAGGAGGGCCCGGTTCGGGGCGGGCTCAGCGCGGGCGCCCTAGTCAAGGACCGCGCCGCAGCCGGCCCCCTCGGGCCGACCCGCCCGTTGCAGGCGGCAGGCTACGTCGACGACTTCATGGTGCATGGCGCTCCC